TTACAAGTTAACCCAAATATACTCTAACTATGTTATGGATAGCATATGAATATGAAAACTATCTATAATAAATAATTTGAATTTAAATTTTTAAAAATTTATGAATTTTGATCATAAAAACTATTTGGTTAATTAGTGAAAACCTCTAGCTTAAAACCGTTTGTTAGCCTTCTCCACAAAAATTTTTTATATAATACATTATCTTTAAAAGGTAATTTTATACTAACTCTTAATTAATTTTAATTAATTTTTTATATATTTATTAAGTTTAATAAATATTGTTTATATTTTTAAATAATAAATATTTTTTTTTAAAAAATACGACAGTACAACACAGCAATATTAATAAAAGAAGTCTAGGTCCTAGATTAGATTATAGCACGAGCAGGCAAGTCATCACAAGACTATTTCACATTAACTATTATGCCTACTAAAATCCAGTGGGCAAAACCCTTAAAACTTACAAGGAAAAGGGCAAACTCTTCAGAGTTATTCCTTTCTCTTTTTAACAATTCCTTTTTCTGCATGGAACATGACAGGCACATACTGATGTCTGAAACACTAATTTTCTTGCATTAAAAGCGTGTATTGAGAATTTAAACAGATAATAACATGCCAAAGAGGGAAGAATTGGAGTACTGCCAATAAAAAAGAAGAGATATAAAACCGTGATGAGTTGTAACACAATATTATGGTACTAGAATGAACAATATATATATAAAATAATGAATCTTGAAATTGTCATAAATGCGACGTATTGCTTAGGTTGGTCAGTGCTGCCGCAGAGAAATTGTGGAGGAAAGTTGTGGCAGCAAAGTGATGGGTTGTGGCATCCTGTGGCAGAGTGATTGATGAAGATGAGAATCCCGATGATGCTGCAGTAGGGAAGGGTGGCACTGGATTTGCCCCATCATTGGGTCTTGCTCTTGCCCTTGCCATGCATTTGGTGAGGAATCTACTTCCATGATCCTCTTCCCTGTCCTGCTCTCTCCTACGACCAACAAAAGAATCTTAGTCACCCAAACGTTATATTTAATTCAAAGATAATTCAATTATAGAAATGACATATATAGTTAGAAATTTATAATATGAAATATTATTATATAATTAATTATTTTTATTTAAAAATTTATTTATAATATTATATATTTTTATTTAATAATATATCACATTTATTTAATAATATACTATAATTATAAATTTATAATTTTAAGTAACATTATAATTGTAATATTATAGATTCAATCATTACCTTAAAGAAGGAAAGAAATTGGAATTTGGAGAACGCCAGATGGGAGGGTAAAATGCCATAGCCTGATGATACCGATAACTCGGTTGTTGAACCCTCATTGTTGCTGAAGCAGAGTTCTCAATCTGTCAGGAGACAGAAGGTTCAGAAGTAAGTATTTTGAGGAGAAAAATTAAACTGGAAGTAGACGGAGTTTTCGACATTTGATTGTAAAATTACGCACCCTTGTTCCCCTGTCAATAGGCAGGTGATTCCTGCTTTGCTGGAAAGGGATTTGGTTTCTACTGGCATTCTTCCTTTCTGCTTCAGATGTATAGGGTGGAGCTATCCCCAAGTTCAGGTCAAGAATATGGATGCCATTTTCAGATCCCAAGGGAAGCTGATCCACTTCATATGTGCTAGGCTCAAAGTTTGTGACTGCTTCCCTTCCATTGCATATGGTAGCCTTGTCATAAGCACTGAAATCAGAGAAGAATAACAAAGATCATACGGAATGGAAGTTAAGCTGATTTGTGAGATCAAATTAAAAGGAGAGTATTTCAAATTTTAATATGAATTAATTAATTTACCTAAATATGAAAAGCAAAATAAAATACTCTTAATAACTTATTTGGTTTGAGAGAAAGAGTGAAGAAGAGGAATTTTCTTATATAAGCAACAAAAAATTGGAGGGAAGCAATTATCCTAAATTTTGTTTTTTATTTTTTTGCATTTTAGTTTAATTAAACAAAAAGAATAGAGAATTTTTTTCCTAATTTTTTATTTTTATTTTTTTGTATTTTATCTTTCAATTTCCCTTCTCTCTCATCTCATTTATTTTTCTCACACCAAACAAGATATTAATTGTCATTAACAACGTGCAGACTACTAGGTAATGGACTCAACATAGTCAAGCTATGAGCCAAAAAAGTTCTCACTTCTTGCCAAGAAAGTGCTCCATTGGTTCCCATTGCCCACATTTGTGCTGTGTAACTCCCCTATTCTTAGAGCTCCCTTTGGCAAATCCATTGCTTTGCCTACGCAAGACATGCACAAATTCTTCCTTTGTAAAGTTACTCATCTGCAACACAAGCATTTGATAGAACCAATTAACCTCAATATCAGAACAAAAAATTGAATTAAGCCAACGAACCAGTGAAAGCTAATATGGTACTTCCAAACACAACACCACCTGATTAATGTCTTCTTTATAATCACTTATATTGAAATTGATATCAGCATCAACACCTCGGAATTTGATCGCGGCTCGATCATATGCCCTGTCACCATAAACCTAAATTTAACCAAAAATGCCACCTATTGTAGTCTTTCCAAAAGTAAACTGAGCTTGCACCATACCTAGCTGCAGCATGTGCTGTGTCAAATCCCCCTAAAGGGAAAGGAAGAAGAAAAAAAAAAAATCATCCATTTAATTCCACTACGCTTAATTATCCAAAATTCACAAATTCTCAAAGAAAAATAAATTTTATAAACATTGATTCTAATTACCCAAATACACTTGTTTTCCACAATCCCTGCGTAAAAAAAGAAAAAAGAAAAAAATAAATTCACAGAAAATTTTAATGAGTATTATATGAGTATGTTTGAGTTGAAAGAAAATGACGGAAAATAATTAAGAAAAGAATTAGAGAGCTCAGCAATTAATTAACAAACCAAATGTGAGACTCCCATCTTCCAGTCCGGCGGTAGAAGGTGACTCCACGATACTGCGAGCTACGGGAGCGAGGCCCCCGCCTACTTTTCCACACTTGTTGCCGCAATTGGAGGTGTTGCTGAGCACCCTTTTTTTGATCCGACGTTCCATCGTGCTTCACCTCCCTGCATCCGAGATTCAGCCATGGCCTCCTTGATGACGAGGTTGACGTTGACTTACCGACTTGTCCCTCACTGGCAACCGGAAAAAAGGGGATAGTGCGATCGTCTTGACTGTACTCGGAGGCTCCAACAGCAACATCTTCTCGTCTTGACTTCAAGATGCTGAAATTGTAGCCGATGGTGTTGTCGTCGTGGCCAGCGGCGGTGTCCACGATGACCACAGAGGAGTCAAAGCTTCCGGAGCTTCCCCGAGGCTTTTCTCCGCCCAGCACCTCCATACTCAAGTTAAGATCCAGCATTATGTAGAATACTTGATCCACACTCGACCGTATATAATTCAGTACCCGTTTTTAACAAAATAAAAACAGACACACCTACACAAAACACTGAAATGAAACGCAAGAGAGCACCAACTTCGCCGTTCTATATTTTCCAGCGAAGTAGAAACCCAGGCATCCGCCGAAGCTTCCTTGTTGAGAGAGATTTTGTTGGCGATGGCGATGAAGCAAATAGCAAGCAAAGCGGTGAGGGCAAGGAGGGGCAAAGCAGAGTCCTCAAAAAGCGAAACATGTAGCCTTCTATTTTGCCCCTTTTTTTTTTTTTTTTTTTTT